ATGTTTCTATCTCCCTCTCCCTCTCTCTCTTCCTCTCTGAAATCAATATTTAAAAAAAAAAAAGAATTGTTAGGCAAAGATGGGCATGAGGGGAGAACGGAAGGTGTGTGTGTGTGTAAGAGAGGGTCTCAAACCCTGTCCCTGCAGCCCCTCCCGTCTCTGCTCTCCCGTCTTGTTCGGGTGACATGAGGTCACATACACAGGCATTGAACCTTCAGCCAATGTTTACCGAGTGTCAGCCTGTCACCGAGGATCCTGGGACAACAGGGCAGGACCCCTGCCTTCTCAGACCTTGTAGTCTGGTACACAGTAGGTGCTTAACACATGGTAGCCTCTATTATCATCATTATTCCTAGCGGCCTGGGACTCCTCCCCACCCGTCCTGGCAACAAGCATTTATTGAGCACTGCCTCCGCATTCGGCTCTGTCCTTGGAGCTGGGCAGACAGAGGGGAAGACTGTGGGTGAGGACCTCATCCGCCCTCAGAGGTGGGCCGCCTCCTGGGGCGCCCAGGCCGGACCCCGCGAGCTCCTCGGGGAGTGGCCTGGTTAGGAGCACAGGCTCTGCCCACAGGACCTGGCAGGGCCTACAGGTCTCCGTTACGTTAGATTGTCATGAATCCTGAGCTCTGACCCGCGGACACACCCACCACAGGCCTGGGCACAGGGGCAGCAATGTGCCCGAGCTCGCCCCTCCCTCCCAGGACACCCCTGGGATGGGACCCAGGAGGCCTGGTCCTCCTCACTCCTGCCTCCCCTGCCTCCCAGGTCTCCTGATGCCCCCGGTCTGCCCTTGTCTGTCCCCCCTGCCCCCCGGGACCCAGGACACATCCTCTGCCCAGGGATAGGTCGTGGGACTCAGCACTGTCAGAAGGCTGGTGAGGGCGAGGGTGGCAATATTTTCTTTCCTCAAATGTGAATATGCTGACGCTAAGGGGACTTGAAACCATGCATGTCATCGGAGGGAGGTTTCGAAGGGCATGGGCGGCTTTGCCTGGAGATGACTGGAGGGGACATGGGAGCTGTCAGCAAGGATTTGGAGGCTGCGTGTGGCAGAGGGCGCCGGCTTGCTCCCAGCAGCTCGGAGGGCCAGCCCAGGACCCCGAGGGAAGGTTCTGGGGCGGCGGGTTCGGCTCAGCATAAGGCTCGGCCGCCCTCCCTAACACGCCCATCTCCGGAGGCCTGTCTCCTGCGAAGCTGCTTTCTGTCGCCGCCCCGCCTGGGGGTGCGCACCGATGGGCTGACCCCTCACTTCCGAGGTCCCTCCAGCCCCAGACTCCGGGCCCTGGGGATGGTTCACTCTGGCTGGCAGGTGAGGACGTGCTTGGCCCCCCGATGGCAGCGCCATGCATTGGCCGAGGACGTCGTGTCACTTACTCACAGCATCGGTGCGATTTGCAATGGCAAGCGTTTCACCCCGGCCTCGCGGGCTGTGCAAGGGATGCTGGGAGCCTGGTGGGGAGAGGTCACTGCCTGGAAGACGATGGCGTCCGCCGTGCTGCGGGGGGGTCCCAGGGTCCCTGACCCCCGGGATGGGGCTCAACATTCCTCAGCAACACGCCCCTTTTGTCAGTTGTCTGCAACACCCCACGATGGGAACAGAAGGAAATGGGCTGCGTGGGTTGAAGAGGACTGTGGGGCCACAGCCTCATCTGCTCAGCTTCCCCTCCCCGGCCCTTGAGGGGTTCCTGGGAGCCCCCGGTGTTCCTAAAAGCGCACAGAGCAGAGGCTAGGCTCCGAGCCAGGCTGCCGGGTTCAAACCCCGCTCCCCCACCTGCTCTCCGAGTGACCTTGGACAAGGGGCTTGACCCCTGTGTGTCTCAGTTCCCCGATCTGTAAAACAGGGATAACCATAACGCCGACTCCCGTTGCCGGGAGCACTAAGTTGTTGCCTCACGTGGAACATCTAGGACACCTGCTCATCATCAGAGCGAGAAGGGTGCGCTCTTGCACAGATGAAAGCACTGACCTCCTTTGCTGTTGCTGTTCCCTCTGCCCAGAATACACTACCCTCACCTCAGCCCCACCCCACAGACCACACCAAAGACCCTCTCCTCCAGGAAGCCTTCCCAGATAGCTCCCTCACCCGGCAGTCCATTCATCTGTGTGCTCCCAGAGCCCCCTGCTTATACCTGAGACAAAGCTAACACCAACAACCCTAGTGAGCATACCGGTCTATTGCGTGCTAACAACCATCCCAGAGAGCGGATGGCATTTTATCTTCTCTTCGGGATAAAGGAGAAAACGGAGACACAGCGGTTAAGGCACTTGTCCAAGGCCACACGGCTGTTAAGAAATAGAGGCTTCTCAACTCTAATTGGAAAATAAACTTAAAAGGATATATATTTTTTAATGAAATAATTATTTTTTAAATGAGGCAGGGGCTGTACTCACACGTGGGTCCTTTCCCGGGTGTGCTGGAGTCTGGAGCTCCAGGCTGGTGGCCTGCCGCTCACCGGTTCTGGGGCTCCTGACGCACTAGGAAGTCATCGCCGGATCCTTGCCTGTGCCCTGTGCCCATGGTAGATGCTCAGTAGCGAGTAGTTGAAAACTCAACCCGAGATGGAATTTACGTCATTGAGGAGGGAGTTCGACAAAGGAAGGTGTTGTGCCACCTGCTCTCCCGCTCCTTCAGGCCCTCCCCATGGAGGGAGCTGGGCAAAGTGCAGGCCCTCTTCCCAGAAGGCACCTTGCCCATCGCCTCACCACAGC